GCTCAGCGGCGCGCACTCAGGCGCTGCGCGCAGGCCGCCGGCGCGTGCAGCCCCGCCCCGCCCGCCGTTCCCGCTCGCGCCATCCCCGCCCCAGCTCCCACCAAAGGCCTCATCAGCAGCCCTTTGGCCGCCACCAAGGACAGGACCCTGGCGCGCTCCTCGTCCGGCCACGACGTCGGCGCGCACCGCAGCGCAGAGCAGGGGCTGCAGCAGGGCAGCACCACAGCCGCACTGCCACCCACCGCCCTGACCCTGCGCGCGTTCCGGCGCCGCAGCAGCGGCGGCAGCCGCCGCTCGGGCGGCCTGTCCCTTCCTTCCTCCGCCGGCTCCAGCTTTGCCCTGGGCCGCAGCTCCTCCTTCGACTGCGCCCTGCTCTGGCCCATCGACGGCACTGTCGGCGGCAACGCCGGCACCGACGGCGGCGACGACAGCACGGGCGGCAGCGGCTCCTTCACCGCCTCGCGCGCCGCCAGCGCCGCCGCCAGGATTCCCTCTTTCAGCCAGGATTCCCTCAGCGGCAGCGGCACCACCTCCAGCAGCACCACCACCACTGACCGCTGTGCGCGCCTCAGCGGCTCCTTCACCCTTGTGGGCAGGGGCAGCCTGGGCCGCAGCCTCAGCAGCCTGCGGCGCCGCAGCTCGGCGTCGCTGCCCCGCAGCAGTTCCATGGCGCCGCTGGGCAGCGGCGAGCAACAGGCGCCGGCTGTGCCGGCCCCCAGCCCTCCTGCCGCGTGCGTGGTGGAGCCCGTGGCCGCCTCTATTGCTGACGGCGTGGCCGCCGCCTCGGGCCGCGGGTGTACCGACGGCGCCGTGCCCACGCCGGAGGCCCCACCGGCCGCCACCAACGGCGGCGACGACTGCCCGGAGGCGTCCCGCAGCGATGGCACCGACGTGACAGATGCCAGCAGCGGCCCCTGTGGCGCCGAGGGCCGCGCCGCCTGGCAGCCGACCAGCTTCCTGGGCAAGGCCGCGTATTCGGGCGGCATCGTGCTGACCACCGGCGTGGTGATCGGGGCCCTGGCGGGGGTCGTCCTGGGCGGCGCTGCGGGAGTCATTGCCCTGGGCGGCTGCCGCGCCACCGCCGGCTGGGTGCGCGCGGCATGGCTGCGCGCAGAGTCGGGGTTTTACGGCCCCAAGTACAGGGAGATGCAGGCCATCGTGCGGGAGGCAGAGGAGATGGACAGGCAGGAGCGCCAGCTGCTGGACGGCTGTGTGTGATAATGTGGGCGGCTGTGTGGGTCCCTTTTACTGCTCCAAGAATTTTCCAGGCAATTCTTGCCAAGAGTTCTGAATCGCTTTAAAAGTTAAGGGGGTGGGAAGAACCGCTAGCCACAATGCAAGAGTAAAATGCATGTTGCCTTTGAAGGCATGGCTGGAACAAGGTGCCAATGGGAATAGTAGGTCAATGCAGCAGGCCCAGTGGAGGGCATGTCCCCAAAATATTCCAGAAGTTTTGTCTATATCAACGTGGCTCAGCGTGCCAGCGCACGCCAGTCTTGCGGCGCGACTGGCCAGGTGCTGGCCACCGGACAGGCATTATGCTGGGTGAGAACGGTAGGCACCGGTACGGTCTGTTGCTATCACACACTCAAAACGCATGTGCTAGGCAATGCCGCGAGGCACGGTTTAGAATGCACACGCTTCAATTCTGCAACGGTCACCACAACTTGTTAGTTTTGGGGCCGGTGAGGGGTGGTGGTGGGGGGGAGGGGTATGGTGAATCTGCCCCTGCACGACTGGGACACCACATTGATCTGAGCACCGTTTGTCAAGCTGCCTTACCCACAGGCAGCAGTGAGGTGTTAGACAAGGGTTGCTGGACACCGCGCTGCTGCGTGCTCAGGCAATAAGCAGACCGCGTTCACGGGCCGCCGACGGCTTGATCCCAACCCCCGGCACCCACGCTCCCATTTTCGCAGTGGCTGCTCCGTTGCACGTGTGCTCAACACAGCGCCTCGACGCGGCACAACACCTGTGTGTCTCACCGCGCACCACCATGTCCTGAGGATACAAACTGACGCAGGAGCAGACTGCTGTCAAGTCCGCCTGCTCTCACACACAGCCATCACCACACCCTGCATTACGACATCAAATGGTTGGCATTACTCTAAGTAAATCACTGTTCGTACAAAGCACTCGTTATGTGTAATTGGGAAGCAGCGCGCTGCGGCTTATGATGTTTTTCATGGTGCGCGCGCACGTGCGCTCGCATCGTTCGTTGTTTGGGAAGTGAAAGGCCTCGCGGCTGGGGCAGACGAGCGCCGCGCGACAGCCGCAGCGGGCAGGTGGTGCGCGTCTCGACTGGCATGCGAGAGGGTGTGTGTGCAAAAAGCAAGTCCCTCTTGCGACAGTCGCTCGCGCATCTGTGACCCTGCGCGTGGCCCACACCACCGCACCACAATCAACATACACATCCGTGCAAACAATGAAGTGTACATCTAAATCGCGTTTGCTTTCCCCAATGATACGGGGGACCGGCATTCAGCGTGCTGTGTGTGGGTGTGTGAGGGTGTTTTGGATAGGTCCGCCAGTCAGCACCCGGCAGCAGACATGCGGCCCTTCTTTCAGCAGCACCAAACGGGAAGTATGCAGTGCTCCAAACGTCATATGCACAAACAGCGCGCATGGCCGCCTCAAAACGCCCGAGCGCGAAGTGACCCTCAAGCGCAGCGCGGCGCCCGCAGCAAGCGCGTGCGGGCGCGCGGCAGGCGACGTGTGACAAGGTGAGGGACCCGTCAAGAGGGAGTGCATGCTGCGAGGGGCGACCCTTAAAGAGGCTGCCCCTGGGACCCGGGCAAGTAAATGTAGGGGGGCAGGGGGGGACAGTTGGGGGGCCTCAGAAAGAGCACCCCCCCGCCTGGCCTGCTAGCCTGCCACCCCAGCGCCGCCCTCCCGCCCTCCGCAAGGAAGGGCCAGGCAGGCCAAATGAGTCAATTTGCGACAGCAGCAGGGCGCGGCTGGCGGCAGGTTCAAGATGCTGCCGGCCACGGCGGCGCCCTCCCAATGGCCGTCGCTGGTCAGCAGTGCTCAGGGCATCTTGGCCAGTTGCTCGTACTGTGGAAGTTGGGGCGGTTTGGTGAGGGGTGGAGGGTTGCAGGACGCGGTCAAGCAACAGCAGAAGGCGAAAGCAGAGGTCGCACGTCCTAGGAGGTGCTGGCATCAACAGCTCCCGCCCAGGCGATCACAGCCAGCCTTGAGCCTTTTCGCCCACATCACTCCACCATCCACCTTCCCAGCGTGTCCCCGCCCCGAGCACCACCCCCACAGCCCACCATGTGCTCCACGTCAAAGCCCTCCCACGCCGAGTGCGAGTCCCGAATCCGCCGGTTGGCGCGCCACACCGCGCTGTTGCACTTGAAGCCGCTGCCAAAGCCGAGCTGCCACACCGTGTCGCCGCGCTTGAGGCCGCGGTACGACTCAATGTAGGCGAGGCAGTACCAGATGCTGCTGCTGCTGACGTTGCCAAAGCGGAAGAGGGAGGCGCGGCTGGGCTCCACGGTCTCGCGGCCCAGGGTCAGCTGCTTCTCAATCTCATCAATCACCGCACGGCCGCCTGCGGGTGGGTTGGAGGGCAGGTTGCATGTTTGCGCGTGCGAGTGTGGCTTTCAAGAAGTTGAAGCACGCGTGGTGTCCGTTGGGTGATGCATTAGGGGTCATGCCAAAAGATGTTTGGCCGCTCAGCATTGGGCGGCCAAAAAAATCTCTTGTGCGCAACCCCTGCCCCCCCCCCCAGAACAGAAATCCACCCACCTGTGTGGATGCAGATGTGGTTGAAGGCCTTCTTGAAGTTCGGCACGTACGCCTTGACCCTCTTTGAGCCGTACACCTTGCGCGCCAGCATGTTGGCGGCAAACAGCAGCTGCTCGCTCAGGGGCAGCACCTTGGGCCCCAGGGTGGTGATGTTCTTCTTCAGTGCCTGCCCTGCCACACCCATGAGCTCCTTGCCCAGGCGGATGCCCCTCACGCCCGCCTCGTCCTCCACCTCAAACACGCAGTTGAAGGCCGCATCGTTGGCTGCCAGGTTGGTGCGCACCACGTGCTGCAGCTCATACTTGGACCGCCTGGGTTAAGTAAGGGGATTCATCCGGATGTTTGGTTTGATTTGTGTGGGTTTGGGTTGGTCTGGTGTGGTCGAGTCGGTTTCAACGATGCAGTGTCCCCACAGGCTCCTATGGCTCTGCCGCCTCAACCACTCTGCACTGCGTCTGCGGCTTTCAATGAACCCCTGCCCCCCACGCACCCCCCAAAAAATGCCCCAGCCATGGTGCCCGGTTGCAGTGCCCACCAGCTGTCTTGCCGCTTGTTGGAGAGCAGCAGCGCGGCGCCACCGACGCGGAAGATGGTGTTGGTGACCAGCATGCCGCGGTTTGTCCCGGGGTACCAGTTGTAGGTGAGGTTCTCCGTTGACACCACCAGGGCGTAGGTGTTGGGGTAGATCTCCAGCATCTGGCGCGCCAGGTCTGCCGCGATGACGCCGGCTGTGGTGGGGGTTGGCGCGGCGTCGCAGCACAAAAGGGTCAAATACCGACGCAACGCCGCAAGGGTGCCCAGGATGTTGCGTTTCTGTTGGCTAGTATAGATCAAAGCAGGGCAGAACATCCTGCTGCAGCCGCTGGAAACCGTCAACATCACCCAGCAGCCTCACAGCACAGAAACGAGCAAGGCAGGCTGCGCCAGGCGGCAGGACTGCACACCTGAGCAGCCCATGCCCCCGAGGTTGTAGTTGATGGTGTTGGACCCCATCCCAAAGTGGTTCATGATGGTCGCGCTGAGGGACGGCGTGGTGTTGAACAGGCTGCTGTTGGTGATCACGACGCCGATCTGCTTGGGGCTGACGTTGACCTTGTTGAGCAGGTCCTTGACCGCGCCAAACGCGACAGACTCAAACTCAAAGCGGCACGCCGCCATGTTGAGCGACATGGGCACGTTGGTGAGCGACGGGGGCGCATAGGTCTCGTCGCCCAGGCCGCTGCGCGCCAGGACCTTCGACATGAACTGCAGCGACTCTGGGCTGAAGTTGTTTGTGGAAGCCACGATGGCGTCATACTCCTTCTTGGACACCTTCCAGCTGAGAGCGTTTTTAGGGTGCGGCGAGGGTGTGGCGGGATGTGTTGGGAGGCCGCAAGGGTCGGCAGGCGACTGCTTGCAACTTACTGTGAGCATGCGCCTTTGCACGGGTTCGCAACCGCATAGAGCCGCCTGCATCACCGCCGCTGCACCCGCAAGCGGTGAAGGCCGGCCCGCGAGGGACCCGCTGGTGCGGTAGACAGGAGCTTCCAGCAGCATGCCACAACGAGCCACGCGGGCAGCACGCCGTCCCGCAGCTCGCAGCCAGGTGCTAGGACTGTTTCTAGGAACCATCGCCTCCTGGCAGCATCGCTGACAGCAACTATGATTGCTACGCCTTCACCCTGCCAAAATTCTCCCGTCTCAGCCTCGTCCTGCTGCGGCCTCGCGACAGTCGTCCAGCGCGCATTTGATGCTGCTTTTGCAGGGGCTAGCTGTCAAAAAGCGATGGAACGACCTGTAATCGGTTGTGTGCGGGCCGCTGAAGGCATCTAACCGCTACCTGTCAGGCGAACGGTAGACTGAGTAGTCCACCAAGTATGTCCGCCGGCGTGAGAAGGTGCGCCACAGCAGGGCCGCCGACAATAGCAGCGCCGCTCCGCACACCCAAAGACGCACCTGCCAGGGTTTGCGCGTGACGCTCAGTCGGAGAAGATTTTCATGTGAATCTGTCTCAAACGCGGCGTGCGCGCTGCTCAGCGATGGGGCCTGCGCGGAAGCGGTGAGCCCGTTCTCACCGGGTCCGTCTGAGACATTCCGCGCACCACCTCCAGCAAGGGCTCGGAGTAGCTTAGCAGCACCTGAAAAATGGTAAAACTGTGTTTGAGAGGTCCAGGGGGCATCGCACCCGTGGCTGCGGCTCCCTCGCAGGATGGGCTCACCGCGAGAGCAGGTGCAGACGCCATCCCTGCAGATACCTTGACTGAGGGTGTCTGAAAATAATAGAGGTTCTACGACTGTGAACAGAGCCTGTAAAAGGGCCGAACAATCAAGAAACCCTTGGTCGACCTCGAGTCCGTTCTTGAGTTGGCTCACTCGCCGGCTGGATGCTGAGGATGCACTGCCGCGGCTGTTCTGGAGCTGCAGGGACTTCAACTAGATCCTAATGTACGACATATGCGGTACGGTGGCCGTGTCACCCGTGGTCACCAGCGAAAACGCGTCAGCCGGCGGCGGTCGGGTTGGTCGTGGTCGGCTTCTGACAGTGTGCAAGCATGCCTCCTGCAATGTGCTGTCGGAAGATCAGCGAACTCACACAACGTTCTTTGGGAGGAAGCCGTGCTCACACCAAGTAGCTTCCCCCTAGTGGCAGTGTGATTGCGGTTCGCTGCTTGGCGGTTTGGGCCATTCCAAGAGCGCAAGACGCGCACATGTGGGCGCTCGAGTGGACAGGCAGGTGTATGCACTCTCCTGAAGACACAGCGGCTTCTGGAACTACCACAACGAGCTGTGGCCTACATGATGCAGGCCGGATCCTGCTGGCTGGGCCCGGAGTCGCGGCTGTTATTGAGGTACCTGGTTAGCCTGCCTGAGGCCAGCTCCCAGCTTCCATGGATGCAAAGACGGACAGCACAGAGCTTCTTCAGGCAGGCGCATTGCACCCGGCCTCGCCAAATGTGGTTGTGCGGCCTTTTCACGCAAATCCCGCAGGTTGTACCACAGGTCAGCATCGCATGGGGCGCTGATGGACTCTTGACTGTCAACCTAGTCGGGGCAGCTCAAAGGGGCAAAGACACTACACACGCAAAGAACCGTCACATGACATAAATGGGCAGCGCGCCACCCAGATGTTGACCTCTGAGAGGACAGAGTCAACCCCTCGTGGCGCTGCACACGCCTCCTCCTGCGTGCGTGCAGCCAGCGGTCTCCTGCACAAAGGGCTCCCAGGACTTGTATGTGGGGGGGAGGGCGGTCCCGTAAGGGTGGGGCAATGTTGCATGGGTAAAGTGCCGGTTGAAAGCAAATCAATCAATCCCGTGGATGCATGCCTGCCTACATCGGCGTGCAAGGACAGCGCATGTGTCATCACTCATCATATGCTCACACAAATGAGACTGGCTGTTGGCCAGGATCATGCGAGCACGCTGACGTGCGTCCTCAGATTGCTAGTAATAGAGCGGCTGGTTGATTGGTGTGGTACAGATTGCATTGCATGCCATCCTTCCAAGCGGATCTTCAGGTCTCGCAAAAGCCGTGCGCTATGGCGCGTGAGTTCAAGCAATAGAACACCGCAGCTGAAAGCGTACTCCACACGTGCTGACTTGTAGACAGCGCCATGAAGGGCGCTTGTGCACCCGTTGCCTCGCGGCTGCCACCTGTGTTTGGGCGACGGTGGTGCGGCGTGGCCGTTTGCAGCAGGGCCCCGCTTCTTGCGGAGGCTCGCGCCTGGCGCTGCCGCGTACGCCGCAAGGCCGTCACCCACCCGTCGGACGGCCACACAGCGGCCTCGCCATCAGCACAGCTGCCCTGGGAAGCCCGAGCCTCGGCCCCTGACGAGGATGCCGCAGCGGGCGACGCCGGCCCCACGCCGCCGCTCGAGGCCTGGGTGCCTCTGCCAACGTGGGTAGTGTTGGTTGGTTAGGTCATGTCGATACGTGGCGCCTGCCGCTGGCGCACGGTCCCGCTGGACGATTGACCACACCACCCCGCTTGTGGCTTGCCCGGCACTCTCCAGGCCGCAACTGCCCCGTGCCACGCACCCTCCGCAGCCCTGGAGGCGTCGCCACCCACGAGTCCCCCGTCACAAAGCGCTGGGCTATGGTTGCTGAGAGCGCCGCCGAGATTGTGCGCTTTGGCCGCGCTCTGCACGCGACGCCACCAGCGCGCTCGGCGGCGGCGCGGCGGCGGTGGCGCGCCGGCCTGGAGGGGGCCGCACAGGATGGCGGCGGCGCTGGCAACTGGCGTGAGCGGTTGCGAGAAGCTTACGGGAAGCTGCTGTACCAATACTACAACTGGCGCCAGGTGCGGCTGCATGCGGGGCGGATGCCCAGGCGCTTCAGTCCTGGCACGGTCAAGTGGGCCGCGCGTGGTGCGCGCACTTTTCAAAGTTGCGTGCAACCGGTGACAGGCGGTCGGGTGGCGCCTGCAACTTCGCATGGTGTCAGCCTTGTGACCTCAGCCGTGCGCCTCGCGTCTCTCCCCTCCCCCTCTTGGCCTGCACAGCGTCCCTCCTCGCACCATGCGCGCGTGCGCGTGCGCTCGCACTCAACACGCCCCCACATGGCCGCCTCCTGCGACCTCGTGGCGTCAAACGCCGACACCCCCGCAGGACACGGTGCAAGACCTGCAGCTGATCGCGGCCGCCAACGTGGTGCTCGTGCTGGTCGGCACGGCGGCGCTTCACGCGCTCCTGGCCTGGGCCGGCGCAGGCTGGGAGGATGCCCCTGAGGCCGGCATGGGGGATCCCCGCAACATCTGGACGGGTGAGCCGCCAAGTCACCCCGCGGTCCGGTCAGCCGCCAGGCCTTCCTTTGAGGTGCAGCTGGGGCGGCCGTTGATGTTCCGCTCGGCGGGCCCCCGCTGCGCTGCGCCTTTCGTTGGTGTCTGGCACCTTGGAGCGCCGCGTGCATCTCCGCCAGCGCGAGCCCACCGTTCCCGTGCGTGTGCGTGATCCATCGCCCCCAGACAACGCGTATGATGTCATCGCCATGGGCTTGGGCGCGGGATTACCGACGCACGGTGAGGCGCACGCATGGAAACAATGGCCCCGCTTTTTGTGAGTGCAGCGCCGTCGGGTTCATGCCTGCCGCTTCAACACGCCCTACGCCCGCCCCTTGGCAGCTAAGCCGCCCTCCTGCTGCCCGCGCAGGCTCCACGTCGCTGGTGCAGGGCTTTGGGCTGCTTGCAGCGCTGGGCGGCCTGGTGTCCTTCGCCATTCTGCTGGCTCTGGTGGAGCAGGCAAGCGGGCGGGGCGCCTGGAATAGCTGACAGCCAGCGGGGTCGAAGCAGGGCCGCCTGCTGGCGATTTCTGTAGCATTCAGCTGGCTTCCTGGTGGTGTTGATTGGGTGAGCTATGCACCACGCCTGGTTTCCTCAATTTGTTGTCCCGGCGACTCAGTCAACACACGTACACGCACGCAAGCACGCAAGCACACAAACACAACCCCACGCACGCGCCAGATCGTGCTCGAGGCCAACCGCCGCAACGTGGCGCGCGGCAGCCGGGTGTACGAGCTGGGCCACTACCTTGTTCTGGGGTGGTGCGCCAGCCAGCGGGACCTGGAGGTGGTGGCCAAGGTGGTGGAGCAGGTGGGTGAGGGGGGCGGGGCGGGAGGGGCTCACGGGGCTTGAGTTGATCTGATGAGGGGTCAGGGTGTGAGTTGAACGCTGGCCGTGGGCTAGTATTGCGTGTGCGTCTTATGAGCGTGATGCGCGGGAGAGGTGCCTTTGACATCACATGCGGGGCTGAAAGCTGCCGAGTCTAAGAATGGAGTTTGCCGGCCTGGTGTCATGGTGTGCTCTGCGTGCCGCAGGTGTGCGCAGCATACCGCAGCGATGGCGGCACGACTGTGGTGGTGCTGACTCAGCGGCAGAAGCTGGAAATGGAAGACCTCTTCAGGTGTGGGGCTCAGCCGTCACACAGGTGCATTGACGATGGTCGGTGTATTGTGCTGGACACGGCAGTGATTAACTCCCGATGACCCAAGCTGCCCCTACTCGCAAGTCCCGTGCTTCTGTGGCGGGCAAATCGCAACCACTCCTCCTGATCGCATGCTATGGCACCCCTGTCGCCTCTGCAGGAGCCTCGTCCCGGAGCCGCTCCGCCACGGCACGCGGCTGGTGTTCCGCCAGGGCAGCCCCCTGGTGCCGGCCGACCTGCAGCTGGTGGCGGCGTCCAGGGCCGGGGCCACCATCATCGTGAGCGACCTCAGCCGCCCCGCTGACGAGGCGGACAGCCAGGTCATCAGGTGGGGCCCCGCGGGTGCAAGGCGGCGGTGACGGCCGGTCGGGTGTGGCAGGGGCGTGAGCACGGCAGCAGCTGCAGCTGCAGTGTGTCGCTGTTGCGTCGCCGCACCTGTTGGCTCATCGGCGGAAAAAGCACCTTTGATACGCCCAGTGTTGTCCAGCGCTGCTCTCATTTTCTGGCTTGCAATGCCGGGCAACCCTCCCTGGTCACCCCTGCCAGCCCTGGGCGTCAGCTGTGGAAGCCTTCTTCACACAGTCTTTGCCTCTTTGAAGCTCAATCCCCACTTGTCATAATGTGGTTTGGCCCCTGGAAAAAACGCCCCCTGACCCTTGCCCTTCCCGTGTGGAGGTGCTCTGTCCTGTTGGACGAGCTGGACAACTACCGCGGCCTCAAGAGGCCGGGCACCATGGGGCAGTGAGTAGCCTAGGACAGAGCCGGGGGTCGTTGGACCAGGAAAGAAGCACGTTATGGGTGTGCTTGCCGGGGGGCTCCTCCTGTTGTATCGATGGGCTTTGCATGACAGTGCAGCCACCAGCAATCTCAAAGCCGTGCAGGGCTGCGCATGAATATCTCATTGTGCCACAATCTGGTTAAGCAATCAGGCGGCCTGGCGAGCGTTGACTGGAGGCGAGCGTTGACTAAACCTCAACCCTTGGGCGTTGACAGCCTCCTGCACATACACGAGTGCCTCCCTGTGGGCCTGTCCCCTTGCGCACACGCCAACACGCGCGCCCATTCCCGCCCGCGCAGCGTGGTGGCGGAGGTGCGCACCGACGACGCCCTGGAGGTGCTGCGATACAGCTGCTCGCGCCGCATCATCCCCCTGCCCACCGGCCACTTCAACGCGCGCGGGGTGAGGCTCCTCACTGCTCCCTCCCCCCCACACATGCACACATGCACGCATGTTCGCATGCACGCATGCACGCATGCACGCACACAAACACATGCATTATGGTGCTCAATACCGCGCCCGCACAGCGTCTAGCGGCCCCTCATGGGCCGGCACCGGCAGCTGAGGTTGTCTGACCGCCGGCATCTGTGCAGGCGCCTGGGGCTTTTCCAGTGCGCCTGCAAAGCAGCAACTCTGATATGCACCTTTGTAGCCGTTCATGCAAGCATGAGAACACAGCACGCCCCACACCGCGCAGCTGCAAGCCGCGCCAGCCGGCCAAGCTGCTGCAGCAGGGTCAACTCACAGCCTTGGGTCCCTGCATGCCGCGTGCCGCAGGTGTCGCGTATGGTGAAGCGGCCCTTCCTTAATTGGGTCCTGGCTCAGGAGTTCAACTTCGAGGCGCCCTCCACCATATATGTCCACTCCTTCCCACAGCTCGTCGGCAGCAGGTGAAAATTATGACTCAGATCGTGGCAGCGTGTTGGGGCCGCTCGCCTGTGGAGCCTTTCGGGCTCAACAGATGGGACAAACGGTACGCAAGCTCATGTGTACCGGCCGAGGCGAGCCGCCGCCATGGTCTGTTGATTTCAACCCGGCTTGATTTGCGCTGAAAGGGTTCAGCACGGCCCCTCCAGGGGGCTCCATGCGCCCTGCAGCGCCGCGTGCTGAAGCGCGGCATTCTCTCTTTGCGCGCGTCCCCGGCGGCCTCAGATTTGGTGACCTGGCGTTCCTGTTTCCTGACGGCGACGTGTACGGGGTGGTGCACCTGGAGACGGCTGAGGTGCAGCTCAACCCACCGCTGGACTACATAGTGAGGGGGCGCAGGCCAGGCTCTCACAGGGCATGAGGGAGCAGGGGCCCGCCGGCGGGGCGCCGGCCGCCGCTCACAGGGGCGGGAGCATGACATGTGCCCTGGTCGGCGCTGGCGCGGCGCGCGCTTTCCATGCTGCCAGGGCGCGTGGCGCTCCTCTGCAAGGCACCAACCGGTTGGACGCCCCTGCTCCCTGACAAGCCCCATCCCGCCCTCCCTGCCTGCCGCGCCCTATCCTGGGC